AACGGAGACCATCGAGAACGTGCTCATCGACACTAAGACTGATCTGGGCGCCATCAATGCGAACATCGCGACGGGCATAATGGTGCACCGGGGCTTTCAGATGCATCATCGCACGCTCATGACGGCCGTCATAGATGAGATAACGCGCTACGTGCACGGCGGAGGCGACGACGTTATCTTCACCGGCCACAGCCTCGGAGCTTCCGCCTGCCTGATGTCCGCATTCGCATGCGCGATCGATCCGGTGATAAGCGACTTCATGAAAAATGTGCGAGTCAGGTGCATCACGTTCGGCTCTCCGAAGATCGGAACGCGCGACTTCTCGGAGTGGTCCGACGACATCGTGCCCGGTACCATCAGAGTCGTGAACGGCGGGGACATAGTGACGAAGCTTCCCAGGCATATGTATCACGTAGGGAGAGTCGTCGACTTAGCGAACGCGAGAGCACCACCTTGTCTGAAATGCCATAAGCTCGAGAATTACATCGTCGCCCTCGTAAAGAGACTGCCGGGGATCCTCGTAGCACAAGTAGAGGACTGTGCGTGTCGATCCGGACAGTCGGCCGGCAAAATCTCTCCCGGCTAGAACGTAGAGATCCAGCAACGAGGCATAAGGCATGAGATAGGGGATCAGCAAAATAAAGCGTCTTGTTCCTACAAGAGCTGCCTATGGGCGCCAAATTACGTGCGACGGTTTGGGCGAAAATGGTGATAAACGCTCTGCGAGTAGGCCCTTGCTTTTGGCAAAGGATTGCATAAAAGATAGAGATTCAAGGTGCACGCAGTGAACATGTTTACCACAGGGTGGCCCGATCGATGCATCCTGCCCCGCGTGCCGCAGCGGCCATCGCTCATTGCTCATGTTCCGGCCGCTTTTTTTCCAGCCGAATATATTAGGAGCCGGATGGGACTGTTCGGGAAGAACAAAAAGTCCGTCAACGCAACGCTGAACGCACTGTCCGAAACTTTCCTCAATAGCGTGGTGGAGGTGAAGAACTCATGCCATGCCTCATCCTCCGCATCGAACATCGTGAACGTCATAGCGCAAGGCACCGCCGACAACGCGAAGGCCGTGCTCGATTGCATGGCGGTCGCCGGCAAGTTCGGCTTCGATCCGAGCAAGTGCTCCTCCTTCGTGGCCACCAACAAAATCGGGAGCATCAAGCAAGGCATCAAGGTCAACCTCACGTCGGACTGCAAGCTCGATTCGACCGACGTGAAGAACCTCCAGGCGAACATGGAGAATGCGCTGACGCAAAAAAACGACCAGGTCAACGACGGGGTGGCCACCGCTTTGAACGACCTGGTCAACGTGCTGGGCGGAAGCGATTCAAGCAAGACGTATAGTCAATCGGTACACGACATGGTGCAGAGGTCCTTCACCACCGATGTGGTGAACGAAACCATCACGAACCTCACGGGTAGCAACATTTTGAGCATTGCCGCGATCGGCTTGGCGTATCAAGAGGTAGGCGGGGTGGAGATGTCCATAGAGTCGACCGCCATGGTGTCGGCCATGACGAAGAACAAGACCATCGCGGACGCGCTCGATACGTTCAAACAGAAAGTGGATCAGGATAACAGCGAGCAGACAAAGGGCCTCACGGATATCATCGATTCCGTGGGGGCCACCGTGGGAGGCATATTCAAGACGATGAGTTGGGTGTGGATAGCGGTCGTATGCGTCGGGGGAGTGATCGTCTTATGGGGTCTATGGGTGGGTCTCAGATTCCTCCTATCTCCTGCTGGGCAAGACGGTGCTCGAGAGATCGCAAAAGCGGGGGCCGATAAGATACGGGACACTCCTATCATTCCTGTCTAGTCCTTCATGCGGAATCCTCGTCGCCGGCCGTCGTCGGTTGCTCGCTGAAGGGCGTCTTGCTGTAATGCTTGACCAGGTACTTTTGCAGCGAGAAGAAGGATGTCACTTTGCCGTCGGGGAGTCCGAGCAGGGCGGACAGCTTGGGGTCCACCGTGAGGAGCCTGCCGTTGCCCTGAACCTGCAGGCCGTTGTTCTTGATGTAGTCGTGGAGCATCTTGAAGACGTCCGCGCGGGGCATGAACGTGTCGCGCTTCAGGTCGAAGAAGTCGCTGAGCGCCGCCGAAAGGTAGGCGGGCTTCGCGAATCCGACCGGCTCCTGGCGCTTCCTCTTCTTGCCCGCCGCCCCCTCGTCGTCCCCTTCCCCGAACACGTACGCCCGGAGCTCGTTGGCCTGCTTCTG